TGGGTAACAAGAGCGAAACTCCGTCTCCAAAAAAAAAAAAAAAAAAAAAGAAGGTCTTTACAAAAAAAACCAGGCTCGGTGGCTCACGAATGTAATCCCAGCACTTTGGGAGGCCAAGGTGGGTAGATCACCTGAGGTCAAGAGTTCGAGGCCAACGTGACCAAAATGGAGAAACCCCATCTTAAAAAAAAATCTGGACGTGGTGGTGTGCACCTGTAGTCCCAGCTACTCAGGATGCTGAGGTAGGAGGTTTCTTGAGCCCAGAAGATTGAGGCCCTAGTGAATCATCATGGCGCCACTGCACTCCAGCCTGGAAAACAGAGTGAAATTCCATCACACGCACACAAAAAGGAAAGAAAAAGAAAAACAGGAAAAAAGTGTAGCATAAAAAAAGAGAGAAAAAAAAACCCCAGGCATGGTGGCTCATGCCTGTAATCCCAGCACTTTGGGATGCCAAGGCGGGCGGATCCCTGAGGTTGGGAGTTTGAGAACAGCCTGGCCAACGTGGTGAAACCCTGGCTCTATGAAAATACAAAAATTAGCCAGGCATGGTGCCACATGTCTGTAATCCCAGCTACTCAGGAGGCCGAGGCAGGAGAATCGCTTGAAAACAGGAGGCAGAGGTTGGGATGAGCCAAGATCATGCCACTGCACTCCAGCCTAGGTGACAGAGCAACTCTACCTCAGGAAAAAGGAAAAAAAAGCAAAGGCAATGACTGGTTCCTTTTTATTTCCACCCAGGCTGAAGCGGTGCGGTGTCTCCAGCTCAGCCTGCGAAGACCTCTCTGCAGCTCTCATAGCCAATAAGAATCTAACAAGGCTGGATCTCAGCGGCAATGGCATTGGACTACCAGGCGTGACGCTGCTTTGCGAGGGCCTGCGGCATCCCCGATGCAGGCTGCAGATGATTCAGTGAGTCTCCATTCCCGGGAGCATGAAATATCATAAAATGCTGGTGCTCCCCAGATCTCCACCTCTGAATCAGGGCTGGCCCTTAACCCCATGACCTTCAACCCTGGCCCTGGACTCTAGGCACTTCAGAGGATGTACTTCTGTCCTCCTCTGACTCCACACTCAATTCCACATGATGAGGAACCCCTGGGGCCACTCCCCCCCCAACCAACCACCTTTCCTTTATTTCCCCTAAGATAGGGTCTTCCTCTGTGGCCCAGGCTGGAGTGCAGTGGTGCGATCTTAGCTCACTGCAACCTCCACCTCCTGGGTTCAAGTGATTCTCCTGCCTCAGCCTCCCAAGTAGCTGGGATTACAGGCCCCCACTACCAGACCCAGCAAATTTTTTTTTGTATTTTTAGTAGAGACGGGGTTTCACCATGTTGGTCAGGCTGGTCTTGAACTCCTGACCTCAGGTGATCTGCCCGCCTTGGCCTCCAAAGTGCTTGGATTACAGGCGTGAGCCACCACGCCCGGCCTAAAAAAAAAACTTTTTTTTAATTAGCCAGGTATGGGCCAGGAGTGGTGGCTCATGCCTGTAACCCAAGCACTTTGGAAGGCCAGACAGGTAGATTACCTAATGTCAGGAGTTTGAAACCAGCCTGGCCAACGTGGTGAAACCCTGACTGTACTAAAAATGCAAAAATTAGCCTGGCATGGTGGCACATGCCTGTAGTCCAGCCTGAAGTCCCAGCTACTCGGAAGGCGGAGGCTGCAGTGAGCCAAGATTTTGATACTACGCTCCAGCCTGGGCAACAGAGCAAGACTCTACCTCAAAAAGAAAAATTAGCCAGGTATGGTAGCACACACCTGTATTCCCAGTTACTCAGGAGGCTGATGCAGGAGGATTGCTTGAGTGCAGAGGTCGATGCTTCAGTGAGTTGATATCATACCACTAAACTTCAGCCTGGGTGACAGCAAGAAACTGTTTCTAAATAAATAATAAAATAGGCCAGGCGAGGTGGCTCACGTCTGTAATCCCCGCACTTTTGGAGGCTGAGGCAGGCAGATCATGAGGTCAGGAGATCGAGACCATCCTGGCTAACACAGTGAAACCTTGTCTCTACTAAAAATACAAAATATTAGCCAGGTGGGGTGGCAGGCGCCTGTAATCCCAGCTACTCAGAAGCCTGAGGCAGAAGAATTGCTTGAACCCTAGAGGTGAAGGTTGCAGTGAGCCGAGATCGCGCCACTGCACTTCAGCCTGGGTGATAGAGCAAGACTCTGTGTCTAAATAAATAAAATAAAATAGCCGGGCGCGGTGGCTCAAGCCTGTAATCCCAGCACTTTGGGAGGCTGAGGCGGGTGGATCACGAGGTCAAGAGTTTGAGACCATCCTGGTCAACATGGTGAAACCCCGTCTCTACTAAAAA